AGATCCTGCACCCTTGACCTCCTCCTGGGCCCCAGCCCTGATGCTCCTCCCACCCTCTGAACCCCTCGGTCCCAGTCCAGAGCACCCTCCTGCACCCCCAGAGCCTGTACCTCCCTCCTGCACCCTGAACTCTTTTTTTTTCTAGCCTCAGCCCAGAGCCCACACCCCCAGCTGGAGCCCTCACCCCCTTCCGCACCCCAACAGCCCTCACCCCCTTCCGCACCCCAACCCACAATTTCATGAGCATTCGTGGCCCACCATACAATTTCCATACCCAGGTGTGGCCCTGGGCCAAAAAGTTTGCCCACCCCTGACTTAATGCATGTTAACAGAATGGTTTTAATTGATTTTTAAATCAAATTCTGAAGAATAACTCTTCAGAAGTAATTGAATTTTCTGTATAAGTTTTGTGGAGAAAGCTTTTTAAAATTTTGCCCTGTCTTTGGTTTCATGGAGCTGAAGAACTATAGTCTCCCCTAATTCCAAACTTCTCTCAAACTCATATTTTGTATAAGCCAGTCTTGAACTTTTAAAAATGAGTTATTTCTCTAGTTTGAAATAACCTAATGGAGTCGCACTGAGATTAGCCAATGAAACTGTCAGGGGAGAGAGCTGGGGGCTCTGGAAGAGGACATATAGCATTGGTAGATTCAACTGCACCTACATTCCTTTCATCGTTGCCATCTCAGTCTCAGCTGTTCCCCCTCCACCATCCATGTCCTGTATATCTCCATCCTCATGCTGAACAAGTACTATGCAGCCTTAACTCTGGCCATACCTACAATACACCATTGGGTTCACGTGCAGATTCAGTTCAGTACCATACATAACTAGGTGAGCCAAAATATAGAACAGTTATTAACATTAATCATCCAGTCATTGTTTGATACTTAGGAAAATATCTCAAGTAGCCACTTATACCTGATGCTATACCTCACCTAATTGCACACACCAATACATAGCCACATACAGAAGTAAGTAGAATGGACTTTATTCACGCTACACCAACCTTCAGTTAATTGTTGAAACTTGAATGTACAGCCTTAAACATGGTTGGAGTTCATGGATGCTGCTTATTTTGGAAAAAGTCAAAACTTTTTCACTCTACAAGAGGCTAAATGTAAAATCTTCGAGACTGACTAGATAAGTGCTTTAGCTTTTGCCTCTTTAAGGTGGTTAACTTCTTGTTTTCCTTCTAGGTGAAGAATGTCATATACCATGCTGTTAAAGATGCAGTTGGGATATTGAGAGCTAATGAATCCAGCCTTAGCAAACCATCAGGTGGAAAGCCTTAACCATGAACTGTGAAACTGAAAAATATTGGCAGCAGTTTAAACTATTCCATCAGGACCTCCTGTGGATGCTGAGATTAATTGTTACCTCATCTTCCTTTCAGCAGTACCAGAGGATCATGGACTTTGTTCTATGTATTTGTCTAATGTTTACAAACCTGAGATGTATATGTAGTAATATTAACATTAACAGACTGTGAATGCTCATTTGCAATAGAATTTTATAAGGAGAAACTCTCCAACCTGTACAAAGATACGTCCTGGAAAATATGTACACTGGAAATTTCCAAATTATCCATTTGAAAAATGTTAATCAAGACATGATGCAAAGGTCATCAACTTTTTTATAATTTGCTTTTGGGGGGAGGGGACAGGAGGAAGTACGAAGTTTTGATTTAATAGCCAACAGTAAGTGTACTGAGTGCAGTTCTTAAGTTTTTACATTAACACAGAACTAACATCAAAAATGGTATTAAAACTAGTGTATATTGACAAGGATGGGGATTAACCATCTTCAGTTAAATGTGTTTACATTTCTACATGTTAAATGAAAAGGGCATTTTCATTAAAAATTCCTGTTTTGAAACTTTGATTTCCAGCTTAAACTGGTATTTGTACTCTCTAACTCTAGGGTCTAATAGTGAATACTATTATTTCTGTTTTAAGAGTGTGTTCCTTTTCCAACCTCTTCTGTTGACCCTCTAAACTGACTACCCTGATACAATGCTATTAAGTTAAAAACAAAAAAGTATATACAAAAGCAAGGTGTTTCAGGGTAGAAACTTCTACCTTGTGCTTAAAGAAGTCTGAACTAAAAGCCTAGGCAACTGGAAATTAAATTGCATTTAATAGCACTTTTACAGACTTGGTTAACTGAAGTTTGATTTAACTACTCAAGTTCTTACTCCAATACTGTTACTGTAGTCTCTGCAATAGAATGAGATGTGAATTATCTATCCCACTCTAGATCATGTCAAAGTGGTTTTCAAGGCTGTATTTAAAAGAGCAGGTAGCCCCATAAGGGCCCAGGCTGCGGGGCTGGTTCATTACTGTGTAGACTTCTGGGCTTGGGCTAGAGCTCAGGCTTTGGGCCCTTATTACCAATTGCTTGATCCCTCTTCTTCCAGGCAACCCTTCAGCTACTCAACCTCACTGTTCATAATGCTTCTCCACTAAGGTTCTCACTGCTTTGTCCAATAATTCCTTCCCCTTTCCTCCTTTAACCCTGCATCTTATGCCAACAGGTTTTTTTTGGTGGTAGAAAAAAATGGCACTAATACCTATTGTCACCCTGATCTGTCTCTCTACTGGATCCTCCCCACCTGTTTTGATCTCCGATTGTAAACTTTGGAATATGAACTACATGTACAGTTCTTGAAGAAAAAATGTTAAGTGCTTGTCAGTCTTGATGCACCTGCACCATATGCATTGAGGTGATCATGAAATGACCGATCTCCTGAGCCTGTTGCTCTTACTCCTTCCTTTCGGTAGACTAAGAAAATGGACTTTATAAAGGATGATTTTAACAAACTCAAACTAGTAGTTTTTTTTTCTTGCCATGTGACCTTAGGGAAGGAGGAGTGCAGGAGAACTGTCAGTTTCTTAAAGAGATAATGTTAGACACAACAGTAAACTAGCCTCCTGCAAAGGAAAGATAGGAAGAACAGTAAGAGGCCCCTGACTCCATCATGAACTTTTTAATGACTGGAAAATCAAAAACAAATTCTACAGAAAATGGAAACATGGATAAATTTGGTCCGAGTGAGTACCAAAGAATTGCACAGATAGCTAGAGACAAACTCAAACTTAGTCTTGTAGAGCTACAATAGATTTGATTTTGTGTTTGGAGCTAATAAGTTTGCCTTGCTCAAAATCAGCCCCAGCCAATGAGATTGAACAAAGTGGACATGGAGGGAGCAATTTTTTTGGACTTAGCTGACATCTAGCCAATTGTTTAAATATGGGAAGATGTGAATTCCCAACCTCTTGAGATAGGCTGCCACTATTGGGTCATGCAGTTAGTAAACAGCCCAAAGATGAAAACTATATATTGATAATGCTGATCTGCCCCTATCTGAAACTTCCTGTAGCTCAGGACAATTGCTGCACAAAAATAAGCATCCTGAAGATCAAGAGCACCAAACCAGTCGGGTGGGTGGGTGGGGTCTAGTGCAGCTAATGTTCTTTGAGTGGTGGTCCCTATTGTATTCCTCTGAGGGTTAGGATGCATGTGTAGAGCTTTTTCAAAGTAGTATTGCTCAGTGGTTCACAGGTGAGCCCTTGTATTGCCTCATGGTTCATAAGATTTTATTGGGTTTTATTTTTTGTTGTACTTTGGTAACTCCTAGTTTTTTTTTTAAAGACTTGGGACTCCACCTCAACAGTGTTCCCTGCCAACCAATCTTTCCCCTGCTGAACTCTCATGTCAGGGTAGTGGGTTATTCCAAAGATGCCACGATTCAAAGCTTGTGCTTTCTACCCTTGTTCACTTTCTATCAATGACTAACACCAACACCATTTGTACTGTTTGGGGGAAGCCCACATCACCTCTTGGTGCAGTATCTGTCTTTCCTTCCCTGCTCATACAGGCAAAGGCCAAAGTCAGATCCTGGATAGAATGTACCCCCCTGTGCATCAGCCTGAGCACTTCCCCTACCATGGAGCTTCCATCCAGATCCACCAGCACCAGAACTATGAACCTCACATCAGGGCAAGCCACAAGCCGTGGAAGCATGTGCATAAGCATAGCTGTAAGTCTCAATCCAAGAGAGATGCTGCACTGTCCACTAGTTCCAGCCACAGAGTTGCTACACACTCCAAGGTGCAAAGGAGTGATAGGCTACACCACTTGCCAGATCTGCTGGTTATTGCACCAAATCCTGCCTTGGCTCTGCCAGATTCCCATGATTTGTCAGTCCTGAGACAGGTGCTTTTACTGGTTCTGGTCCTGTCAATAGACTGGACACCATTGACTCTGGGGAAAATTGGAAGTGCTCTCAGCCCTCATGAACTGTTTGCCCTGAAAGGAGTGAGGTTTCCTTACATTCCAGTGCACTCACCTCTGCAGAGGGCTCCATCTCCTGCATTGCATTTACCTCCTGCTAGCCATACCTCTCAATGCATCCTGCTCTGTCAGCCGGTCATTCACACAAGACTAACTCCTGAATCCAAGGACCTGGATGTTCACCTCTTTCATTTCAGAAATACAAACTACCAGAGGGTTGCAAGGCCTCTGTGGCAATTTCCTCCTTTGCCTTACCCAAGAAGCTGGTATCCAGCTCCTTCTGTTGTTGTACTTGTGCTGCTGGATCAACTGGATTGGCCATATTGGAGTTCATGGCCCCAGTATTTGCCTTCAGAACAGTCTCCTTTGGCTCAGGAGAACCCCCATTTCACTGCCCTACTCTTCATCCAGTAGACATTTGGAAGTAGTTAGACAATGCACCAATCAGCCCAGCTCCGACAGCACTGTATGGGGAGACTTTGGCAAACCAATAAAGTGCCTGAAACCACTACTGCTTATTACTGACAGTAGCCAGTTCAGCAGGCTGTAAATTGGCCATGCAGCAGCCTTCGCTTAACCAAGGCAGGAGGGGATGGGGTTTTGGGTGCCACAGAAAGGGCAGCTTGACCCCATATCCTTCCTGATAATGTTGAAATTGCCAATATATGTATTTTAGAAAAACCAGAAGCTTGTCTATAACATACCTTCAGGAATGTGTCTGTCAGGGCCTCAAGGCATGCACATGCTGAAAAAAACAGTTAATTGATGAGCATAAGGAAACCTCTTGCTTGACCTTTAAAAGTTGCTTGCTTAGCAAGTTTTTTAATGACATGTCATTGTATTACTAATGTATGAAAAAGGTTGAGGTAGTGGGACTCTTCAGGAGGTTTCTTCAGGGATGGTCCCCAGAACACATACTGGGGTCCCCATGGGCAGATAGAAGTTTGTCCAAAGGAAGCCTGTCACTGTGCCCCTTGAAAGTTACTCAGCTTTGGTAATTATCAAGGGTTGGGGATGTTTTACTAACCTGTTGCAGACACATGTAAGTGCTTGAGACAAAGTTTAGCTTTAAGTGAAAGCACTCCTGTGTTGCCCTGTTTGTGCCAGCCATCTATCAGTCAGATGGCCGTGTCTCCCTTAATTTATTTCCTGACACTACCTCAGAGTAAAAGTTACCAAAAGTTTTGGATTGACAGAACTCCGGGTAACAGTACCAGTGCAGCTGGAGAGATTCACTTTGTCTCCAGACGCAGCTGTGTCAGACACCTTCAACTGATAAGTGATTATCAGTTTCAAGAACACCTAGGGAGAATAGCCAGTGCTCTTGAGATGCCACTGGAAGAGGCGCAGGACAGTCAGCACAAGTTACTAGAGGTTCTACACTCATTGGCACCAGCAAGAGTAGCCTAATCATAGAATATCAGGCTTGGAAGGGACCTCAGGAGGTCACCTAGTCCAACCCCCAACTAAATCATCCCAGCCAGAGCTTTGTCAAGCCTGACCTTAAAAACTTCAAAGGAAGGAGATTCCACCACCTCCCTAGGTAACCCCTTCCAGTGCTTCACCACCCTCCTAGTGAAAAAGTTTTTCCCAATATCCAACCTAAACCTCCCCCACTGCAACTTGAGACCATTACTCCTCGTTCTGTCATCTGCTGCCCTGAACAGTCTAGAGCCATCCTCTTTGGAACCTCTTTTTAGGTAGTTGAAGGCTACCCCCTCACTCTTCTCTTCTGCAGACTAAACAATCCCAGGTCCCCAGCCCCCTAATCATTTTCATTGCCCTCTGCTGGACTCTGCAATTTGTCCTCATCTTTCTGTAGTGGAAGCCCAAAACTGGATGCAATAAGTCCAGATGTGGCCTCACCAGTGCCAAATAGAGGGGAATAACCACTCCCCTCAATCTGCTGGCAATGCTCCTACTAATGCAGCCCAAAATGCTGTTAGCCTTTGTCAAGGTTCCTCCCCCACTCTGAACTCTAGGGTACAGATGTGGGGACCTGCATGAAAAAACCTCCTAAGCTTATCTTTACCAGCTTAGGTCAAAACTTCCCCAAGGTACAAAATATTCCCCCCCGTTGTCCTTGGACTGGCCGCTACCACCACCAAACTAATACTGGTTACTGGGGAAGAGCTGTTTGGACGCGTCTTTCCCCCCAAAATACTTCCCAAAACCCTGCACCCCACTTCCTGGACAAGGTTTGGTAAAAAGCCTCACCAATTTGCCTAGGTGACTACAGACCCAGACCCTTGGATCTTAAGAACAATGAACAATCCTCCCAACACTTGCACCCCCCCTTTCCTGGGAAATGTTGGATAAAAAGCCTCACCAATTTGCATAGGTGACCACAGACCCAAACCCTTGGATCTGAGAACAATGAAAAAGCATTCCGTTTTTTACAAGAAGACTTTTAATAAAAAATAGAAGTAAATAGAAATAAAGAAATCCCCCCTGTAAAATCAGGATGGTAGATATCTTACAGGGTAATTAGATTCAAAAACATAGAGAACCCCTCTAGGCAAAACCTTAAGTTACAAAAAAGATACACAGACAGAAATAGTTATTCTATTCAGCACAATGCTTTTCTCAGCCATTTAAAGAAATCATAATCTAACACATACCTAGCTAGATTACTTACTAAAAGTTCTAAGACTCCATTCCTGGTCTATCCCCGGCCAAGAGGACTACAGACAGACACAGACCCTTTGTTTCTCTCCCTCCTCCCAGCTTTTGAAAGTATCTTGTCTTCTCATTGGTCATTTTGGTCAGGTGCCAGCGAGGTTACCTTTAGCTTCTTAACCCTTTACAGGTGAGAGGAGCTTTCCCCTGGCCAGGAGGGATTTCAAAGGGGTTTACCCTTCCCTTTATATTTATGACAGCCTTCTTGGCAACAAGGGCACATTGGACTCATATCCAGCTTCTCGTCCACTGTAATTCCCAGGTCCTTTTCTGTAGAACTGCCGCTTAGCCAGTCGGTCCCTGGCCTGTAGCAGTGCCTCCTAAGTGCAGGACTCTGGGGTTCAACAAGGACAAATGCAGATTTCTTCTGGCCCAATTTGACAAGGTCACTCTAGACCCTGTTCCTACCCTCTGCCCCCAGCTTAGTGTCATCCAAACTTTCTGAGGGTGCAATCCATCCCATCATCCAGATCATTAATGAAGATGTTGAACAAAACCAGCCCCAGGACCGACCCCTAGGGCACTCTGCTTGATATGGGCTGCCAACTAGACATCGAGCCATTGATCACTACCTGTTGAGCTCAACTATCTAGCCAGCTTTGTATCCACCTTATAGTCCATTCATCCAATCCATACTCTTAAAACTTGCTGGCAAGAATATTGTGGGATATTGTCTCTTCCAACCCTAATTTTCTATGAATGTATTGAGTACCCAATTCCTTAAAAATAGAGCTTCCTTCACTGGTTTCTTGAGCTCTCAACAACAGTAGGCTTCATCCTTCTTTTATCAAGCACCAGTCTTACTTCTGAAGAGATACCCTGCTGTCCTGATAAAGGGTTTGCTAAAAAGGACTTTGGGTAAGGGACAGTAGAAAAACATGCTTCAGTAACATTTGTTAAAAATTGAACAGCTACAGCCTAAAACATAGGACTGTTACAGCTGTGGTCAAAGTCTTTACAGCTCAGTTTTCCCATTTGTGCACTGGAGTGGAAAATAGCTCCTGTTGAAGAAGGCTGGGTGGGTTAGTCTGCACTTGTAAAATGCTTGATCTCTGGATGGAAGGGGGTGGTAGAAATAGCTTTAAGAACATAAACTAAATGCTTCAGCATAGACTGACCATTGACCAAAACTTCCCTTTCCTCACCATTATCAGCTTGAATACACACAAAGGTTAGAACAGACTCTTAAACTAAGATGCAAGCTAAACAGACCCAAGGGGAGCAAGTGTTAAACAAGAAGTTTATTAAAATCCATTCGTAATGTTTCAGAAAAATGTACACACACTTAAATATTAAAGGGTTTTTTTGGTAGCAGCTTAAGCCAGTACAAGTACTTTGTTAGAGGAAGACCCTACCTTGCCACAAAGAATATTTTTGGAAAGATTGTTTTAGATCTGAAAATACATTACACCCACTATTTGCCTATAGCCTACATTACCTGTGAAAGGTTGGCAAAAATAACCTTTATAGAACACAAGCCCCAGGAAAAATGTATATTACAGGAAGTATTTTCAGAAACAAAGTTTTACATTTTACAGGAGGAACAGACCATCCCAGAGCAAAAAAACCAAACCACAAAAAAACAAGCTGTACATGTGAACTTAATATCTAGCTACGGAGTGTAGCTAACCGTGACTGCATTGCTTCAATATCCTCTTCCTCTTCTTCATCAGCTATACCAACAGCCCCTATGGGCTCAGTTTCTGGAAGAGCATCTGTAACTTTGCTAGGTGCTTTACCCAATGCCCCTGAAAACAAGCAAGATAATGTCCAGAATCATCATTAATCAGTCAGTCATCTGTATTTAACAAATGGAGAAGTTCTCAGGTAGCTGCACATTTTAGAGGTTTAAAAGTAACAGAAGTCAGCCACTGCTGTACGGTTGAGACAGCATGTTGGAAATTTAGAGACAAGTGATTAGGCTATCTAGGCAATAATTCATGATCAATTCTTCCTAGTGTGTACCATACAGTATCTTGCCCATTTTAAAGTGTCTAGATGAGCACTGTACTCTAATTCTAAGGGCTCTAGGGAAAGATAGTGGGAGACTCATGCTGTGACACTAACCCGACCCTGGCTCCCTGCAATCCTGTGCCACAGGCAAAATAGACTAAAAGTAGCTCGCCTTCCTGCTTTATTCTTCTGAGGCTCTTAACAGTTGTGAATGGGAAGAGCTCCTTGGTACAGGGCAACTTCACTTCTGTTCCCATGGTACTCAGTCGTGACAGCATCTATGGCCCAATCCCTAAACCCAAATGCTGCAGAGCATTACTCATCTTTTGGCAAGTGAGCAGAGGGTTAAAGAGTATTTTTAAAAAGGAAAAGAAATGTGAGGCAGGGAAAGGGGGACCAAAAAAAAGAAAAGAAAAGAAAAAGGGGTTTGGGAACTGGGCACAAGGAGACACGGCAAAGCATGGGGCAGGGAACCTAATTCACCCATAGGACTAGCCACTAAGGAGGCTGGGACTTGTGGGACTTCCAGCTTCCCTGTAGCCCTTCAGATAACAGTCTACAGTCAGAGACTTCTGAATTAATATTTTATATTCAAAGCACTTTTACAAGTTGTCTCATTTAATAAGGAGATTTTCCAATTATTCAGCCTAGATTTTACTTAAAAAGGGACACAGTCAAGTGGTTCAGGGCCAATTGTTTTGGTGTTGTTTAAGCTGCATAAGACCCAACAGAGATTTTCATTTTTTCAAAAATTGGAAAATAGGGGGAAAATAGTTAAACTAAAGTGTGTTTAGCCCAAACAGTGTAGCAGCCTGTGACCCTGACTAGATCAGAATCAAAAGCAATGCAGTCTCCGCTATTGTTACTGTACAAGTTGAGAGAAACACAAAGTAACTAAACTGCAGCAAGCATGAATTTATTTAAATTCTGGTTTAAGGGGTTACTAGTACCAAAGGAAAGTGGCTTTTTAAAATAAGGTGATAACCTGACCCTGTCTCTATTGACTTCTGTGCATTCCTCCTATTTATACTTTTTGGACCCACCCTAGCCAGTTCTTTCCTGCCTCAGTATTCACGATTATGAGCTACAGTACTTCTGTTCCATCTCTGAGGGCCCCATCTTGTGAAGTACTGAGAACTCCCTGCTGCCACTAAAACTAAGGGCATTCAACACTGGGCCCCCAGACATTTAGTCCAGGTATATGTACTCACCAGCTGTAATCTCAAACAGGATTTTATCGATTTCCAGCTCTGCTTCCTCTTCCATTTCCTCTTGGTCTTCCATATTTTCAAAAGTATCCTCTAACATTTCTTCTATGATACCAGCCTATAGGGAAATGGAAGATAACAGATCCCATTTCTGGGACTTACAGCCAGCCAGCAGCGCAGCACTCTCAGGAAAGTATATTCAGCTCCTTCAGTTTCATAATAGTCCAGATTATGCATGCCGCTATCTCACCCATCGAAGGACTCAGCCTTGCTTCTAATAGCAGCTTATCTACTACACACACCATCCTTGTGCTTTCCTGATAGTTCTGTA